GAATTGAACATATATGTTAGTATCAGGAGGGTTGTTCATAATTATTAACTTAAGCGATGACCAACATATATCAGCAGTTTTGTAGTAGACGAATTGAGTGGTCATAAAAAAAAATGAATTAAGTCAAAGTCTATGCTAGTTTAAGTGACATTTCTAAGATGATGAATTTTGAATATTAAACAATTAAAATGCACATATGGTTGTGCAAGGGATATATAAAATATGTACTTGTTACAGTTGTTTGTTCGTGATTGCTTTTATAGCATTCTTTATATATTTTATATGATTAAAATATGCTTGTTATGTACTGCTTCACTCATATTTGTCATTGTGGAGCATACTCGTTTTCTTTTCTTCTATAAAATCTTTCTTTAGCTATGATTATTTTATTGAGCTGTATCTCACTCCTATATTTTATTAATTTTCAATGCAGGGTAAGGAGTATCACGATGATTAGTTATATGTGACATAGTACAACTTTTGGGTTGTAAAGTTTTGGGAAGATTTTAAAGACTTTTGGGGTATATACTTTTCTGTGTTTAATGTTTAGCAACTTTGTTTATATTTTGGTGAAATTATTATGCACGCTTCCCTGTGTTGAGAATATGATTGAATATTGAATTGAATTGGATTGTGAATGTTTGTGACGATTGAATGAGGCTAATTCATCAACCATTGAGCTTATATTTGTGTAATTTAAGACTAATATTAGTGGACATTATGTCTGATTGAGTTGTCCATTCTATTGCACCCTTGTTTAACCCTAACGTGGGTCAACTTGGATGCGATAGATGTAACCAGAGAGGTGTTAACAATAACCCTCGACATTTTGTCACAGAATATATCAATGAAAGGAGCAATGAAGCGATTTCAACATTCATCGGAGACAATCAACAGATACATTTCAGTGGGGTTGAAGGCTCTTGTTAGTTTATCAATAACGATTTTCAAGTCAGAGGATCCGACTTTTGAGATGACTCAAATAAAGAATGCAAATGAACCATGATATATGCTATTTTTAAAGATAAATCTTTTTACACATTATATTCAGAAGTCCAAATGAGTAGTGTAATTCATACAACTTTCTTTAATTTATCAGAATTGTTTTAGAGCGATCAATGGAACACACGTTGATAGATGTGTATCAAATAATAAAACGATCGCATTCATTGGGCGTTGTGGATCACCAACACAAAATATGATGGCCGCATGTGATTTCAACATTTGTTTTATTTTGTTATGATTAGTTAGGAAGACAATGCAGATGACAATCGTATATTCGCTTTTATCTCAAGAAATATAAAACAAAACTTCCCTCGTCCACCTCCAGATTTGTTTAACTATTAATCATACTATTAGATATTTTTTTAGTTCATTACTAATTATTGTATTTGCACAAACATATTACTTGGCTGATGCTGGATATCCTTTACAAAGGGGTATCTGAGGTCATTTCTGGATAACAAATATCACATTCCTTAATTTTAAAGATCCAACAATGTTGCTCGGGACAGGAAATAAATTTTTAATAAGAGGCACTCGTTCTTACGCGGTTTAATTGAAAAAAAATATTTGAAGTATGAAAGAAAAAATGATTCATGTTGCGTGATATGCTGTCATATCCATTTCCGATGCTGGTGCAGATTGTAGTGGCTATAATGACTCTCTACAACTATATTCGACAACATCATTCACGAACGGGCGTAGACTTCAACATGACTTACGATGATCATTTACACGTCCCGCTTGAAGCATTCGATTATCACATAGGACAAACTATGCGCAGACGAAAAATCACAAGAAGGTTGCACCTAGGATGACGAAGGTGCTGGGGAAATGGTTAAATTGAGAGAGCGGATTACATACGCCATTGTTGGATGTTGAATGGACAAATTCTTGTTTATTTTATATAGTTCATGCTTATTTTTGTTTATTGAGTATTTGATATTGTTTGTTTAAGATTTTTATGCTGTTTATAAGTGTTTTTTTGTTTTCATTTTATTTCATTTCATTTCTTTTCTTTTGGTGGGTTTGAGAGGTCCATGATGAGACGTCTGACCTTATGAGTTATTATGGATGACATGTTAGTCACCGTTGGTTGGTGTCACATGTGAATATCTAATGAAGGCAACCGAGTTCTCTTCTTTTCGATGTTGCGGTTTTTGAGGTTTTTTTGGATTGCTCTTTTTGGTGATATGCATATTTAACACATAGAAGCTTGGTATTACGTGGGTTCAAAGCAACCAAGGACCCTTATTTTATAAGGTCTGTTGTCTTCTTGTAGTGACAAGTTCGTTGGTTGATTTATGGAGTTTTCTGAGACCTCACACCTTCATAAAACTGTAATTAATTACCACTTTTATCATTTTCTACTTGTTTATTTTATATAATTCATGTTTATTTCCGTTCATTGTATATTTGATTATGATTGTTTGGGTTTTTATGATGTTTGTAAGTGTTTTTTTCTTGTTTCATTTCTTTTGTTTTTCTTTTGATCGATTTGAGATGTTCATGATGAGACGTTAGACCTTTTGGGTTCCTATGGATGACCTGATTGTCGGTATTGGTTAGTGTCACATGTGAAATTCTATTGAATACAATCAAGTTTCTCTCTTTTTCTTGTGATACAGTTTTTGAGGTTCTTCTGGATGGTTTTTTCTGGTGATATGCATATGTGACCCGAACAAGCTTTGTATTACGTGGGTTAAAGATAATCAATGCCATTTTTTGACAAGGTCTGCTGTCTTCTTGTATTAACAGATTCGTTTGTTGGTATACTGAGTTCTCTGAGACCTCACGCATATTTAATTAATTATTTTTAAAGAAAATTTTTACTTGTGTTATGATTAATGTATTATTTTTCAAAACATTCAGGAAAGATGAGCTCGAAGATTTCTGACACCTCCCGAGTATTTCTGTGTCACTGTGGACTTTAGAGTTCTCTGCTGACATCACATTAGACACATAGCTACGAGAGATAGTTCTACAGGCGCCCGCAGAGATTCACGAAGAAGTGTGACTTCTTTCGATGGGCAGACAAGCTTGTAGATTCCACTGCCGAGAGTGATCGGGAATGTATGCTTCTTTCGATGGGCAGACAAGCTTGTAGATTCCACCGCCGAGAGCGATCGGGAATAGAATGTATAGTATCCCTGGAGGACGACCTGACTCGTGACATATGTCGTCTCCATTTTAAGAATAATATTATCATATTTTAAAATGTTATTTTAATAGTCTTTTTCTTTATTTAAATAATGATGATACTGTTATGTGAGGTGTATATCTTATTTTTTGTAATGTTATGATGTAGATTTTTCCTTCTAAAGTATCAAATATATTGCTATTACAATTCTATTTCAAACAACATTACTACACAGAGACAGTGATCATTTGTTCAGAAACAACTGTGTTGCAACTATTTTGAAATATAAATAAACAAATAGCTAGCTAGCTTATCCGCAGCAGCTTCTGCGTAGCAGCTTTCTGGGACAGTTGCTGGGCAACAGCTTATTAATAAGCTGCAACTGCCCCAAACATGCCTGAAATCTATGGTGAGTTACCACAATCATGGTTAACAACCTGGGAGATAAACTTTGTTAGGATTCCAACAACTCCTTTAGCAAAAGGTGTCTCTTTTCTGTTATTGATTCATACTTGTTGTCTTCTAGGAGAATCAATGTTAATTTTGTTGGAGTTTTTCTTATGGGCTCAACTTGAATCAAGAGTATCTCTCCATTATCAGTTGGAAGCTGGTACTCCTTTTCATTCTAACATTCTTCAGTATCTCTTTGTCGCCGTCCATTTCTTCAATTACTTCCTGCTCAGTGAAGGAAATCACTATTCTATTTGGGCAATCAGATGCAATGTGTCCAAAACCATAACACCTGAGAAACTTCTTTGTTGGGATGAATTTGGGAGTGCTAGAGGTCTCCACTTTTTTTTCACTTTGCTGGTTTTTCCTCAGGTGGGGTCAGTTGGGATGCTCGACAGGGTGTACTCTTGCTGCTAGATTCTTTGGTTGAACTCTGTCTGTAAGGTTTGGATGTCACCTGGTTTTGTTGTTATTTCTCAACCTTCATAGCTAGGGTATGTACATCGAGACCATTATGGTTACAATTGAACCACATTCCTAATAGACAACCTCAGCCCTTCAAGATACCTCGCTATTATGTGCTCATCTGGTTCCACCGGCTCACATTTCAAGATGAGTTTTAATTTTTTTTTTGTGTTGGCTTTTAGATGTTTTGTAGTCTTCATCTAGTCGAATCAATAGTTATCCAAATCATGGATATGTGAATTTTGAAGTTTATTTTCTTGTGTGATTTTTGGTGTCCTCATAGATTTTCATTAGTACATTCAAGACACTAAGGTGCACTAAGATGGCTCATTTTGATGTCAAAATATGCACACTTTCGTATAAATTTTTAGCAAGAAAAGTTTTCAGTGCTTGTTTTTTTATTTTACAACATATAAGAAAATAATATAATATAGCTTTACTTTGATATAGCAAGACTAACGTTTCTTTAATGGAAGGCCTTGTTTAACTTGCATTTGGTTTGTGTTGTTGGGTGAATAGCTCTCGACAATGTTTACGGAAATTTACAAACGTAACACCCAATTATTGTATATTTACGAATTTCACACCTAAACTTTCATATTTGTAGGCAAAGCACCTTTACCTATGTATGAAATGGTGGATGTCAGCATTAAATAGTGTATTAGTAATGTTTTTGATGTGATAGGAAAGAATGGAGTGCTTTGGTGGTAAAAAGGAAAGTTTTAGTGTGAGATACATAAAAGCATTAAGAATTGGGTGCTACGTATGGAACTTCCCTCGATTTTTATAGCAATCGTGATTAGCTTAAATCTTGGTAGTCAAATGGAGTTCTTTTTTAGTTTTCCACTTGTGTGAACGTCTTGAATTTATCGATTCTTAATATCTAAAAAATGTGGTTCAGTAGTGAAATTTGTGATGGATTTCCTGTTTGGTAATCTTTCAGGTTGATCACTTAAAAGCAGCATTAATAAAGTTGGACAAAAATTATGCTGCTCAAGAAGAGAAGGAGACCTGTATGCACACTATACCTTAAAGTAAAATGCGTTCTTCTTAGAGGTTGAAATTGATGTAGTATGAAGAACTTTTGATGCCTAAACAGCCTAAAACTTTTATTTCTCCAAGTGCGTAACATTAGCTTGTTTCCAGTGAAAAACTGGAGTGTAGGTTGGAAGTTTATGATGCTTAACAATTTTGATTATTTATTCTTAAATGATGAAGAATCATTCTCAATATTTTATAAGTTCTGTTTAGTGCTAAGCATTCCAAACTATAAAATATCCTAATATATTTTTTTCACTAGTCACCAAAAGTTGTGGGGAACTAAGGCTGAGTCGCTGTTATTAATAAATTCAACACAAAGAAGGAGATGAATGGCTCTTCTAAATTTAATTTTTTGAGAGTAAACCTCTTAAACTGACGTGGAGCCTCACCCGCTTACGAAGCAGACACATGATCGCGTCTTCGCATGGGGCACGGAAATTGCCGCGTCTGGACTGTTCGGTCCTAGCATGAAAATGACCAGGTGGTCCTTCCAAGCAAAGACTTCCCTCCCATTGGGAGTGGCGTCCGCTACTAGTTACCTTAGGCTTTTATATTTACTTTTTGGTTTTAGGTTTGCAGTTTTGAATTGCGTTTCTGTTAGGACAACCCTATTTTCTCTTCTAGGGCCGTATCAAAGGGCGAGTGGTGCTCCGATTATATCTCATTTTGAGTTAGTGATTGTCTTCCAACGGTCGAGTGGCACTTCTATTGCATCTCGTTCACGAGCGGATTTTTATCCTTTTCCAACTCTTCCACATGCCTCCCACTTTGCTACGATGCATTCCTCCTCGCTGCAGCCACCCCGACATCAACCCTTTTGCTGTTCTTCCTATTGTTCTTCACTGTCCAACCATTCTCCTTGCTGTCACAGCCCAGGGATAGCTTTTTTTGCTGTCCTGCAGTTCCACACATTCTCCGCCACTGCTGTGGTCATTCTCACTTGCTGCTGCCGCCCCGTACAGCCTTTCCTGGCTGTTTTGCTGCTGTTCCAACCCTTCTGAACCACTTCTCGGCTACCTAGTCGCTGTCCCAGGTTTTCTTCACTGGCATTTTCGCTGTCCCAGTCACCCAGAAACCCCTCCCAGCAGCCTAGCTGCTGTTCTAGGCGCCCAACACTGCTTCGGATTATTGTTTCTCCACCGTCCAGCCCACCTATACACTTGTCGTCGTCCCATGACAGCGAATATCCCCTACTTTCCTGCTGTATTGTCCCCTCCTTTGCCTCCTCCACCTTGTCGCCGCCTTTCCAGACCCCCAATGGCCCCCACATCAACCACCATTGGTACACCCTAGTCGCAATTTGTGTTTTGTCTGTTGCTATTTTCTATTTAAGTGTGTTGCTTGTAGCTGCTTATTGGCTTTTCTAGAAGTAATATTTATTTGTTTATTTATTGTTTAGGTTAATTCAGGTGTCATTTGGTATCTGAGATAGCTTAACCTATTTTTATTGTTTTTAGCATCCACCAATACTCAACTTTATCTATCACAAATTTCCTTTATTTTGTTGATTTTTCAGACCGAGCACTCCAAAATTTTCTTCCATCATCCCTATACAATTTCTTCCCCCTACTCAAAGCCCAAATTTTAATCACGCCACCGCTGAGACAATTGTCAAAGAACTGATCGGGAGGAAATGTCATAATGCAGTTTATGAGAAATCTGCAAAGAGATGTACAAGAACTTTCTATAGAAGTCCTTTAATTGCAATAGTTTCTTTCCACCTTCAAGCAAAGACAATCTTGACAGGTTGCCCGTAGCCACAACAAGGACTTGCTAGATCGAATGAATGAAGCAAGTCTCTTCCATTGTGTAAATTTTCTTCCTTATCCTAGATCATCCCTATACAATCTCTTCCACCTACTCAAAGCCCAAATCTTAATCACGCCACCGCTGAGACAATTGTCAAAGAACTGATCGGGAGGAAATGTCATAATGCAGTTTATGAGAAATCTGCAAAGAGATGTACAAGAACTTTCTATAGAAGTCCTTTAATTGCAATAGTTTCTTTCCACCTTCAAGCAAAGACAATCTTGACAGGTTGCCCGTAGCCACAACAAGGACTTGCTAGATCGAATGAATGAAGCAAGTCTCTTCCATTGTGTAGATTTTAGAGATGAAGAACCAGTACCCCAAAGGGTTAGCCTAAAATTCAAAAAAACCTGAATCTTGAAGTAAAGTTGGATTTGTCATATTTTAACGGTCGTTTGGATCCATAAGAGATCATTTAGAGGCTGTTGGATGTGGAGTCTTTGAGCACCAGAAAGTTCGACTGGACCGAATGGTGAAACTAGTCGACAACAAGTTAAAGAATAGTACATTATTTTGGTAGGAAAAATTGAAGCACTTATGCCAATATGAGGAAAAAGATAAGATCATTACTTAATTTAAAATAAAGCGTGAGTTGCAGCGCCATTACCTACCTGTTCATTACTAATCAGATATTCAGATACTAACTTCAAAAGTGAAAAAGCAACATCATCAGATGACTTCAACACTTTACAGGCAGAATTCAACCCCATAATCGAGCTTCAAGAGTACGTTCAAGATAACTTCCATGCCCCCGCCTAAGGAGAAATTGATTCAGATGGAGAACAAATGAAAGCCAACAAATGCTCTTAAATCTGTTCCAGTCAGAAAGTGCTTTAAGTGCAACCGGTTTGGACAAAGTGCAGCAGATTGCCCAAACAAGGGTACTGTCTTTTTCACTAAGTAGGGAGCTGTTGAAGAAATAAGTAATGTCACAATAGACACTGAAGAATGTGAGGAAACAAAGGAGTATTGAAGTTCAAATACCTCTGGACCCCCATAATTCAACCCCATGAGAGACTCCAACAAAATCAACAGTAGTTGTCCAAGATGGCCTTGAGTTTGAAAACCGACACCGAACACATGGAAACCCCATATAAGAGAATTTTAGAATTTCAGATATATCGTCTACTTTCTGAGTTGCCTTGCTGAGGTAGGTCCAACATGTTAGAGATTAGATTTTTTTGTGCCATTTTTGGAAGACTACATGGAGCCTTTGGGTATTAAAATTAGTTCTGCAGTCTGCCCATTGACATATGAGTAGACAGGAAGGATGACTCATAGTGTTGGAAATCGCCTTAGGAGCTTTGCTGGAAAGAAAATCTTAAAGTGGGATCAAGTTTTCGTTAGAGAAGAAGAGGTCTCTTCCGAGTGGTTACATTTCAGTGTGGCCCAGTCTGTTATAAATGTCATTGCGGAGTTGATTAATCTTGACAGACTTTTTATCAGATACGTCCAACCGAGCATGAAGAGTGGGTGAAGCAAATTTTAGATTTACTTGCTCGAGATTCAGATCATAAGAATTGACGTCGTTATGCTGCTCAAGCTTAGGTTGTGCTATAAGTGGATGAATATTTATTATATTAGGATGTGCTTTGGAATGACAACATATACATGATTGATTTACCAGGAGTTTGTAACATTTCTGCTGTGTTCAACTAGGCTGACCTGAGAGGTTGAAGCTCTCCCCACCCCGGGAGACTGATGCGGGATCCAAATGGGGCACAATTATCGCGTTTGGACCGTTTGGTCTGAGCACAAGCAGAGAATTCCTGGAGAGGGATCCACTCCTATTTACCCTAGGCTTATATATTTATTTTTCATGTTTTAGGTTTGCAGGTTTGGATTGTGTTTCTGTCATGACAGCCGCTGGTGTCCCATTTTTCCCTTCTAGGGTTGTATCCAAGGACGTGTTGTGCTCTGGCTGTATCTTGTTCCTCAGGGGATATTTATTCTTCCACAACTCCTTGACATTCCTCCCTCTTCGCTATCAGTCATTTCTCTCTGCAACCACCTCAACGACAACCATTTTGCTTCTTGCATTTCCTCGCTGTCCAATCCTCCTCGCTGTCGCAGCCCCATGACAAGCCTCCTTTTGTTGTCACGCAATCAAATGCATTCTTCGCCACTACCGACATTATTTACGCTCGCGCCCCGAACAACCGCTCTGGGCTGTTTTATTGTTGTTCCATCTCTCCCGATCCTCGTACCCGCCAATCACCGCTTTCTCAGACCTTCTGCACTTCCTTCCTGCAACATATCGACTGTACCAGCCACCTAGAACAGCTACCCGCAGCCTAGTTGCTCTAGCTGCCCAACATCGCCTCCGAATGTGGTTTCTACGCTGCCCAACCCACCTATACAGTTGCTGTCATTCTGAGCAGTGAATTTCTCCCACTTCCCTTATTGTACTGCTCCCTCTGCTTCACCTCCCAGCCTCGCCGTTCGCTTTCTAGACCCCCAACGACAAGGTGGGGAGGTGGAGATTCGACTCATAAGAATTGAATCGTTATGTGTTGACCTTAATTTTGGGTGAGGTTTTAGGTCTTTTCTTTAGTGACTAAGATCTAGTCTTGGGACTTTCCTAATGACTATTTTAGTATCTTAGAAATGGTACCCACCTTCTTTTTAGATATTTCAACCAAATCTCTGTTCTTTATGTTGGTTCTTTATGTGATCCATAATTTTTAATACAAAGATTAAAATTACATAAGAGAACCATGATGGGAATTCTTGTAAGACCTATGGACCATAGGAAAGCCTTGCACTGTTCTAAACATTTTTAAACTTCAATAGATTGCATCGTCATTCATAATTATCACGATCATAATAAACATTGCATTTTTATATCATTATGTTGCAATCATTACATCTATGGGACTGACTAAAATTATTTGAACCTAGTTTCTCCTAAAATACCCCACTTGAATATTTTAATGCTTCAAAATTACCCAAGAAAAATTTACCCAACACTGCCATTGAATCACAAAATCCACTTCAAACCATTTAATATTATCATTTAGAACATTTGAAATCCAAAATTGCAGAAATTCCAATTTTTCAAAAAAATTATCAAAATACTATGGACTCCCAAAATATCAAATTTTCCAAAATCTCCGAAAGTCACCAATGAGTTTTAAAAATCACATCAAATCATTTTTTATGT